CCTTAATCAGGTACTAACTTGACCGTTGGAGGCGGAGCTCTCAGGAGTCTCCGTTATTTTGCAGGTACAGGCGTCCGGTTCCAGTCTCGGAATTGTAACTCTCCCGCAGGACATCAGAAAACCCCGAAACACGTATGATCTTTACAAGATTCGAACATGCAACCTCAAACTCTTATATTAAATGTTTCACCAATAAGCTATGATATATTTTATGTATTCTTTGTCAAACAATATTTATATATCTAGTGTTGAAAAGGCTTTTCGTATCGATTTTTAGGATTTAGTGGCGATTGTAAATGATATGATTTCTCAAAATTATATAAATGTGTAAAAATAGTGTTGATATGTATTATTATGTTTTCCGTATCGATTTTATATGGGAACATGGTGATTGTAAAAATGATACAACATCCTTAATTATTTCACAAACATACTTGCATATTGTAGTGAATGTAAAATCGCTACGAAATAATCGCTACGAAAAGAGATTTTTCTTGTAGCGTGACAAATTGATTCTCTAATTTTGGGGTTAGTATTTTTAGAAAAATACACTTGAGACTTGTCTACACTAACCTGGGATCCAGATTCAGCACAAAAATTTTCCAAGCACTCCTTCATAATAGTCGCTTGCTCCACTCTTGCTTCACAGAATAAAATTAGATTATCGGCAAAAGCAATGTTAGAAATTGGAAGCCTATTTCTACTAGCTCGATCCGGCTTACAATTGCCCATATTAATCTTAAAGTCGATCAAATGTGCAAATCACTCCATACAAATAACATATAGGTATGGAGACGATGGATCTCCTTGCCGAATGCCATGACTAGGACTGATGGACTCCATAGGCTCACCATTCCACAAAATTTGTAATCTAGCTAAAGTGAAATATCTCATGATGATGTCCACCATTGGTTGCGGTAGCCGAAGTTCCATAAGAGACACCCTAATAAAGCTCCATCTCAAATGATCATAAGCTTTTTTAAAATAAATTTTTATTGACATACACCCCTTCCCACTTTGATTGTTTTTTTCTTCTCATAATATGCACCATATCTTGGATAATAATATTATTTCCGTTATTTGACGTTTAGGCGAATTGCTACATTGAGTTGGAGAAATCAAAGTTGGTAATAAAGGTTTGAGCCGGTTCAATATCACTTTAGTTACCAACTATTGGAGAAGATATCAATCAATGGAGTAAATTGATATATTTTCCTTAGTTATCTTCTCCGTATAATAATATCTTTGACTTGTATCATTGTAATCTTCCTAATTAGTTAGGCATATATTCCTTGCTAGCTGTAAATAATATCCCCTCATAAGGATATTATTATTTTCCTTAGTTAGTTTATTCCCTGCACATATTTAGACTATAGCTTGTAATATATATAGTTGACGTTACTTTTGAATATAATTATCAATCACCATTCATTCCTTCTTACATGGTATTAGAGCAGGAAGATTCAAACTCTTGATTTTTTTACCCCACGCTTCCATGTCTTCCAATACAATCCCAAATGAGGTTGAACCATCCTCTCCTCTCATTATTGTTAACCTTACCAATGTTCTCAAACTCACAAATGTGAACTATCTTTCCTGGAAACTTCAAATAGAAGCCATCCTTGTTGGTCATGGGCTCTTCAAATTCCTTGATGGTTCCCACCCAGCACCCGCACCAACAATTACCAAAGACCTTGTATCTTCTCCAAACCCAGCCCATGCCACATGGGTTAGACAAGACAAATTGTTGTTCGGTGCCTTTCTCAGCACTCTTGAATCCAACATTTCTCCTCTCGTCTCCAGAGCCACAACAACTAAGGAGGCATGGGACATTCTAGCACACACTTTTGCTCGCCACACTAGAGGCCATGCCAAGCTACTCAAAGCAAACCTGAAATCCATTACAAAAGGAACACGTACAAAGCATTACGGAGTACATGAATGCTATACGTGTTTATGCCGACCAACTTGCTGTGCTGGGTGAGCCTTATAAGCCAGATAATTTGTTTGAACGGGTACTCGAGGGCCTTCAAGATTCCAACTATCAATCGGTAATAGATGCAACAAATAATCGTGATACCTTGATTTCTTTTGATGAACTACATGAAAAACTGCTTATCAAAGAGGTTAGTTTACGTACAAATAACACCCCCACCCCGCTACTCGTCACTTTGCCTCACATTCCTCACATCCATCATCAAATGATACTCTCAATCGTCCTACTAACCATCAAAACAAGTCTGGACAAAACTATAAGAAAACTCATATCAATGACAAGCCTAATGGGCAAGGGTATAAAGGGAGGTGCCAATGGTGTCATGCTCATGGACACTCACTATACCGCTGCCATAGTTTCCAACAAAAATTCCCATCTGCCAAACCTACTCTCCCACCCAATTCTAACCCTCCACCTCCTCCTCAAGCCCATGTCGCCACGGCTACCAATAATGGTGCACCATCCTCTTGGCTCTTGGACACGGGTGCTACTCATCATGTCACACATGACATGTCCAATCTTTCCCTTCATCACCCATATGATGGCAATGAGGAGATTGTCATAGGTAATAGAACTGGAGTGTCTATCACTCATACAGGTTCTCTTTCTCTTCCCACTAACTCTTCTAAAACTATTCATCTTTCTAATGTTCTATGCGCTCCTAATATGACCCGCAATATTATTTCAATTTTCCAATTATGTCTAGACAATAATCTTCTCATAGAATTCTCATCCGATTATTTTCTTTTGAAGGACCGACTCACGGGGGCACCTCTTATGAAGGGTCCAACTAAACAAGGAGTTTATGAATGGCCATCTCCATCAACTATTTTAGCACTCTCTACTATCAAAACCCCGGCAATAAATTGGCATCATAGACTTAGCCATCCATCTTTATCTATATTTAAGCACATTATTTCAGATTTTAATCTTAATGTCTCTAGTTCTTTATCCTTCAATTGTAATGCTTGCCAATGCAATAAAAGTCCTAAACTCCCATTTGCTCAATCTACTTTAGTTTCCCACTCTCCTCTTGACATTGTCTACACTGATTTATGGACCTCTCCGGTTCACTCGCTTGATGGATTCAAATACTATGTCATTTTCATTGATCATTATACCAAGTATATATGGTTTTATCCCCTCAAAAATAAGTCCGACACTAAACCAGTTTTTATTCATTTCAAAGCCTTAGTTGAGAAATACTTTGATAAATCAATTAAGGTTTTATATTCGGACAATGGGGGGGAATATGAAGCTCTAAAATCCTTCTTAACTATAGATGGAGTATCCCATCTCACATTACCCCCACACACTCCCGAACACAATGGCTTTGTCGAACGGCGACATCGTCACATAGTTGAAACGGGACTATCTCTCTTATCTCATGCACAATTACCACTCTCATTTTGGTCCTATGCTTTTTCAACTGCTTCTTACTTAATAAATAGGCTACCAACTCCAACCCTTTCAAATAAATCCCCGTATCATTGTTTGTTCGGGTCTCCACCCAATTATCTCAAGTTGCGTAATTTTGGTTGTCTATGTTATCCATGGTTAAAACCATACACATCTCATAAATTAGATCCAAAATCAAGACCTTGCATATTTATTGGGTACTCAAAAACACAAAGTGCATTTCATTGTTTAGATCCAATCACTAATCGTATTTTTACATCCCGCCATGTTCGATTTATTGAGAATGAATTTCCTCACTCACAGCTTATAAAAATGCCTTCACCTACTACTACTCCAAGTCCAGACTCTTTGTGTTCAATCTCGTTGCCTATTTTAAAAAATCCCATTCACATGCCAATGCATGATCATCAAGATTCTTCTGGCCCAAGTCCACTAACATTAACTCCATCTAATTCAACTCATACCAACTCCTATCCTACACATGTCTCTAGCCCACTTGATACTACCCAACACTCACCCATTACCCCACTGCCCAACACTACTCCAAATAGCCCCACCTCTTCTACCCACTCTATAACTCAAGCTCAACTCATTTCCCCAATACCCACACCGCCCCTACCATCTAATCCTACACCCTCACTTATAGATACTCTACAAAACCCATCTCTACCTCTTTCACCTACCCCTGACACAAACTCAAATAACCAAATAACTACTCAACCAACCCAAGGGATCATCACGAGATCCAAACACAACATTTTTAAACCGAATAAAAAGTACGTAAACAACACCTCTGTTCATTCTAAGCCGGAGGTACCCAAAAACTGTAAAACAGGCTTTACAAGACCCATTATGGAGGAAAGCTATGGAGGAGGAGCTTGCCTCTCTTCATAATCTTGGTACTTGGGATCTAACATCTCCGGATACGGTTCGTAACATTGTCAAGTGTAAGTGGGTTTTCCGCATAAAATACAAAAAGGATGGTTCGATTGAACGATACAAAGCTCGTTTGGTTGCAAAGGGTTTCCAACAACGCCCTGACATTGATTATACAGAGACTTTTAGTCCGGTTGTTAAACGGGCTACTATTCGCACCCTTCTCAGTTTAGCAGTTTCTCAAAATTGGCATCTCCGCCAACTCGACATTAATAATGCGTTTTTACAGGGACCACTACATGAAGAGGTTTTTATGTCCCAACCTCTGGGCTTTATTGATGCTAATTTTCCAACTCATGTTTGCAGGCTCAAGAAGGCTATATATGGTCTCAAACAAGCCCCACGGGCTTGGTACACTGAGTCAGCAAATTATTTGATTGGTAGAGGGTTCAAACGATGTGTTTCGGATACATAATTATTTATCCTTCATCATGCTACTACACCTATATACCTTATTGTGTATGTAGATGACATTATTGTAACCGGGCCCAATGCTACTAATTTAAATATGTTTCTCAAAGACTTTGCTAACAGGTTCTCCTTGAAGGATTTAGGTGAACTCTCGTACTTCCTTAGTGATGAGGTCATGCCTTCTTCTCATGGTCTATTTCTCAGTCAACGCTGATATATTATTGATCTTATTGATCGCATGGGTATGCTTGACACCAAACCGACACCTACTCCTATGGTCACCACACAACATTTGACCGCCAACTCGGGTGTTGTCTTAGAAGAACCGAAGGATTATAGAGCAGCTGTTGGAGGTCTCCAATATCTTACTCTAACCCGGCCAGATGTTGCGTACACAATTAACAGGCTATCACAATTTATGCATCGCCCCACCTCGGATCATTGGTTAGCTCTTAAACGCCTTATGAGATACTTAAGTGGTACACTTGATAAAGGGATTAACATATATCGTGATTCACCACCTACTTTGCATGCCTTTTCCGATGTGGATTAGGCAGGGGATAAGGATGACTACACATCAACCATGGGTCATGTTGTCTTCCTTGGGCGCAATCCTATTACTTGGTGCTCTAAGAAACAAAAGTCACTAGCTCGTTCGTCTACTGAGGCTGAGTATAGGTCCGTTGCCACTACTACTGCTGAGATTATGTGGGTTCAAAATTTACTCACCGAACTAGGTGTTAAGATTACTCACACACCGGTGATTTACTGTGATAATCTTAGTGCCACTTATCTTAGTGCTAATCCTGTTTTCCATTCAAAGATGAAGCATTTGGCAGTTGCATTTTACTTCATCCGTGAGCAGGTACAAAATGGGACATTACGTGTGGTACATGTTTCCACCGGTGATCAGCTCGCTGACTTCCTCACTTAACCATTATCTCGACCCCGACTCGACGTTCTCTTGACCAAGATCGGACTATCTGATAGCCGTCCGTCTTGAGGGGGCATATTGGAGAAGATATCAATCAATGGAGTAAATTGATATATTTTCCTTAGTTATCTTCTCCGTATAATAATATCTTTGACTTGTATCATTGTAATCTTCCTAATTAGTTAGGCATATATTCCTTGCTAGCTGTAAATAATATCCCCTCATAAGGATATATTATTTTCCTTAGTTAGTTTATTCCCTGCACATATTTAGACTATAGCTTGTAATATATATAGTTGACGTTACTTTTGAATATAATTATCAATCACCATTCATTCCTTCTTACACCAACTTGTAGAAAATGTTTCACAAAGTAACTAAATTGTTGAGCTTTTTGTGGAGTATCGATCTTCGGTATGATGAGCACAAGAAAAGCATAATTCAAGCTTTTGGGGAACTCTTTTCTTGCAAGAATATCTTGAACCAAGTTAGTGACACTCGGCTTCATAATCTCCTAGTATCTTTGGTAGAACAAGAGCTGGAAACCGTCCGGCCCCAGAGCCTTATATGCTTTCATAGTCATAAGTGCTTTCTGATTTCACAATATGTAAAAGAACAAGAGATACCTTTCCAGCCTTTTTTCATCTATTCTCGTAAAGTAGTCATCTAGCAGCTTCATACATGTGAAGGTTAAGTTCTCTTCTTGGAAAATATTTCTCCAATTATCCAACACCATACTTTTTACTTGATCATGGTCAATCACCTAATTTCCACTAGCATCTTGGAGAGTTTCAATTCTATTTTTGAGTCTTCTAATGATAGTTGACACATGTAAATATCTTGTATTCCGATCTCCGTCACAAATTGCATCCAATCTAGATTTTAGGAACCATAAGGTTTCTTCTTGATCAAGTACATCGCTTAATTGTCTTCTGAGACTCGCCTCAAGCTTAATTAAATACAAGTTCCTCCCTTTTGACAATTCAAGTTGGATGCTAGCAATTCGAGCCGTGAGTTCTTCTTTTTTACGGAATATATTATGAAAAATTTCTTTATTAAAAAAAAAAAAAAGATTTTTAGCAAAGCTTTTCAAGAAACTCGCCACAGGTACATCATTATTCCAATTTGCCATTGCAAAGTCCTCAAATTTCACATGATGAATCCATACTGCTTGAAACCAGAAAGGTTTCACACTAGAAGGAATTGGAACAAAGTCAGTTGTGCTAATCAACAATGGACAATGATCAGATAAATTTTTAAAAATATTGCAGACAACCCCCTCATCAAAATGCACCTTCCATTTCTTAATCTCCAAGCTGCGATTGAGTCTAGCCGATTTAAAAGTAGAAGTAGAGTTACCTTGAAACCAAGTATGTTCAAGACCAGAGCATCCCAAATCTATAAACTTGTTATTTTTAATCTAGCTAGCAAACATTACACCTTTGTTGCATTTCAGCCCCACCACAGCCGTTACGTTCAAAATATTTTGAGGTTTCATTAAAGTCCCTAGCCATAAGCCACGACCCCTGATACATCCCTTTAATTCTCTCAAGCTTGGCCCAAAGATCTCTCCTCAAAGTACTATTTGGACTTGCGTAAATAGCAGAGAAAAGCCACAGGCCTCTCCCAATTTCTTAATCAAAATAGTGACATGTTGTGTATGCGAATCATATGGAGTCACAGTGACAATTTCCTTTCGCCAAAACACCTAAATTCCATCACTAAAACCTAGACTCCACTCTTAGATGCCTAGAGAACCCAATTTTTTCATAAACGTGGTCAACTTCTTGACCACTCATATGAGTTTCAACAAGTGCTATTACCATAGGTTTATTAATTCGAATAAGATCTCGAATAATATTCACTTATTTCTAACACCTTGAACATTCCACACAAGAATCTTACTTAACATATTAAACATACTAAAGTTCGGGAACCTATCATATACGTTCAAAGGAACGTTGCAACAATAGGATGATGTAGGCGTCTCTCAATGCTATCATCCGATGGATTATATTCTAGTGGCAGATATGTGCTCACTTGGAGTGAGACTTTGTAAGCCAAGGGATAAGTCGAAACCATCAAAAGTCCCTAGCTCCATCACTTGATCTATGAATGTCTCATATTCCCATGGAATCCATACCTCCAAAGTTAGAATTAGTTGATTCATGGCTCTCAAACACAATAGGGGCACTTTCACTCAAAGTAATACTAGGAGGGTTTCAAAGTTCACTTGGTGTCGAGGAAGCAAATTTAATCCAATTCTCCTTCCCTAATTGTGACGACCTAGATAAGGAAGAATTAGATTTTTTATTATCTTTTTTCTTAAAAATCACATTTCCACTAACCTCAATATTTCTATTATCCAGTGTGAGAGGAATTCTTGACTTATCTTTTCTTCGAATATTCCCAAAAGATAAACTTTCTTTTTCTTGGATAATTTTTTACATCTTTTTTTACTAGGGATTGCTCCCTCGACTTTCTATCTTTATCATTCAATGATTCACCCAAATCAACAGTTGATTTTATTTCCAAATCCCCTTAATTGGAAGCATTAAGCTCCTGTTCCAACTCATGAGAACTTGCATCACCTTGAGTACCGTCCATAGCTAAGTCCACCACTTCCCAGTGGCGGAGCCACATTAGAACAAGGGGGGACAGTTGTCCCCCCATTTTCGGAAAAAAAGTTTTTTTTTAAAAAAAAAAAATCAAGAAAATACAGTAAAAGGCTATAAATAACATATACTTACAGTAGATATCACAATATTGAATATGGTTTGGTGGTTGAGTCCTTAGTAAGGTTGTGTTTTGGTCCTAGGTTCGATTCCCTACTCTACTGTTTTTCAGCTTTTTTGTTTTTTTTTTCCCCTACTTCTTGTTTTTTTTATTACATACTCTAATTTTCAACAACCTTTTTAATTTGATTTTTTATTTCCTATTTCTTGTTTTAGGATTTTTAATGTTATTTCTTATTTCCTACTTCTTGTTTTTAATTATCACTTAACTAAGTGTGCTTAAACTCAATTTTTTTTTACATTTCTAATAAATAGATTACTATTAATTAATTGTTTGTAACTGTGTTTTAACGAAATACATATTAATAATATGATTGATTTGAAAAAGTTGAGTTTATTTTTTCGAATGTAACTCAAACCCTGGCCCTTCATATCTACCATCAATTTGTTTTAACGATAATTATTTGACTTTATGATAAGGTAATTAATTCGTATTTATCAATTATGTGATTACATAACAGGATTTACAAATATAAATTTATTCATTTTTGTTGGATAATTTTCTTAATATACAATAAAACTTTTTTACCCCTCTTTTTCCATATAGAAATAATTGGCATATGTGATTTCAAATAAATATTAAACAATTTAGGTTATCAATTTTTTTCTTGAGATTTTTGCCGAAACTTTAACCTCCAAAATTTGTCCCCCCGAATTATAAATCCTGGCTCCGCCACTGCCACTTCCTCTGTAACAGTTAGACCATTGTCAAGTTGTCTAATTGTTTAATTCTTGCTAAAAGATAACGTTCCTTGATTATCATCCTCTTCAATCTCCAAGGCATTGAATCTTGATCCATCATTTTTAGGATTCTCCACATTCAGAGTATTGTCCTTGATCTTCTTGTTGGAATTTTTTTTCCCAGTCTTATGAGATTTATTACTTCCTGGCCGTTGTTTTTTCCCCTCTTCATTTGATTTGTTATTTTGTCTCCTAGGTGGATGTTAGACCAACATCTACGCACCATACTTGTTAGTCTCCTCTGCTTAAAGTAGTTTGTATAGGAAAAGTGGCACAGTCCCCTTCTTTATGGCCTAGCTCCCCACAAACAAATCAATATCATACCTTTGTATTGAAATTTCGACAGCAAGGGTTTAGTCAAGTCTACTTCAATACTAAACCTCACAAATTGGCTACGATTTTTTGACTCAGTTTTCTTTTCAATTCTAATCACCTTTCCTATCTTCGAGCCCATTTTATGCAAGAACTGTGAATCAAAGTATTCAACTGATAATTGAGGAATCCCAACTGAAGATGTCAATTTCTTGATAGGTTCCCCATTCGGAACAAAATTAGGAACCAATTTCCTAATTTTCAAGTAGCTATCACCAATAATCCATGGACCTTGAGACATGACAAATTCATAATATGTCATATTGTTAAAGCGCACAATATAATATTCATGACCCACGTTTTTTACGGCAATATCTCCCCTTAAGCACCATTTTATACGAAGCTTTTTCACCAAAAGGTCATAGCTTAATTAGCCTTCTATCAAATAATTTGACAATTAAAGCATCTTTCACGGTTGTTGCAACCGCTTCTTCTCTTCTTTTGTCAATAGGATGGTAGGGCAGCTTTAATCATCAGAATCACAATCCAAGAGGACATCATCATCCAAAATTGAATCGTCCTCATAGTTTCCTTTTCAAATAGAGGATTAGTCCTCTGCACACCACCTATCGCTTGAACATACGATAAAGATTTCCCAGGAGCAGGGATGATTGGCATTTTCGTACCAGATTCATCCATATCCACATCTTCATTCGAACGAATTAGATGGCTATCAGTTCTTTTGAATTTCTTATTCGATCTTTGGAGGAG